CTTTTGTCCTAGGAGTGTATTATCTTCAAATGTTAATAGCTACCAGCTTTCAAATATTTAAATTAAAGTCTTCCTGGAGCAGAACAGCTAAGGGGTTTTATTATTTGTGAATGTTAATTTTTCTCCATCCCAGGACCTACCTTGGCAGTCCACAGAGAAAAAAACAGGTGCATACACCAAAACGTTGCTCAAAAACTTTGTGTGGTGAAACAGCAGAGCACTCAATTGGCAGTTTGTTGTTTGTTTCAACATGACTCAGAATCAGAGGGATACCGCTCTTTCTCTTTTCATATGGATGTGATCCGTTTGTTTATTCAGCCCTCGAGTAGGACATTTTCAGTAGTTTCCATGGAGACTTTACTACACTATTCTCAGTCATGTGTGTTTAGAATGTCTCTACCAATGGAGTTTATAGGCAATGGGATTTAAAAGCTGTTCTTAAGTTTATAGAATTGCTGGTGCTTCATGGTTACTTGTTCGGATTTTGAAACTATTAGTTATAAGTGGACCTTATGGAAGAAATCTTTGAAGAAAACATAGTAGTATAAGAAAATAATGTCTGTCTTTTGTGAGGCAGTTCCTATTATCTTTCCATTTTGAGAAATTAACTTCGGTTCAATTGAATTACCGTGGCGACATGTCTGCATTTCAACCAAACCAAACTCAACCATAAACTAGAGCTCTGTATATCTAGCTCCTGTCCAAAGATTTTTATTGCAGTATTTTTGAATAAAATCTCCAATGTCCTGGTTAAATATTATACCTCTCCCAAAATATTTCTCAGCCAGACAAAACAATCTGGATTGATAAGTCCGAATTTTAAGAAATAATGTAAAGATAAGAAGAGAGGATATTGGAGACTAGGAAAAATAGAATGAAAAAAATGGCTCACAGATGAAGAGAAATATATTTGCTCTCTAAAATAACATTGTGCAAGGCAAGAAAAACAGGCAGGGATTTCTGTTCAGTGATAACTGGACACGTGGCTTGACCCTCTGAGGTCTGAAAGCAGCAAACACACGAAACTTTGTTGGAGCACACAGCCCTCTCTCAAAGGGGAGCTGGGTCTCCTACTGTTTATGAAACTTACTTGCTCCTTGGAATATTGCATATCTAATTTTGACAACTAAGTAAACTCTCCAGGGGATAGGTTTTGAGTTCTTCAGAGATTTCCATAGTCATCCCCATCTAGACAGGAGAGATGGTTTTACGTGTTACTATTTATGTAAGGAGCAGGGGAGAACATATCTGTTCTAAACAAACGACAGTGTGAAGACCAGATAGGGACTGAAATGCATAAGGATCCAGTCATTTCTGCCCCACACTGGGGGCAGATCAGACTTTCTGTTCCCAGACAACAGATTTGTTAGCCTAAGGATACTTGAGCTCTTTCACAAAGCTTTCTGCTAGCTCCTTTGCTTACAGAAACATAAGCAATACGATTTTGCCTAGCAACTCTGCTGCGGAAGGCCAGCTCCATTCTGTGAGTGGTGTGGGACCCCACTGAGAATTGCAGACAGTGCAGCGGGCTTGGGGAAGCAGGGGGAACGAGGGCCCCTCTGCAGCTGGTTCCCGACATCCCAGGCATTATCTGCAGTTCCTAGCACTTTCAGAAGGAGGATGAAAAGCAAGGGGAAATGAATTGAAAGGCAAATAATAAAGCTTCCCAGATTGTGAGTGAGAGTGTCTGAGAGCCTAATCTGGAGTTGGCACTGCAGAGCCCAGGGAGAATGAGGATTTTTTCCTCATTAAAAATGAGGTAATTGTGCTAGATAATGTATCCAGGAAGGGAAAACCAACAGGGACCTCCCAAAGGTAAACAGAGATTATGTTAAGGCGGAAATGAAGGTGCATTCCTCAGCAGGAAAAGCGGTATCAAGTCTGGGTCTGCCTACATTTAAGAAAAGATTTGAATTTTATATTAAAATGCCTGCCAGTCAGTGTGCACTGCATTAAGTATAGATCCACATTCTTTCAAACAACCTTGTAAGGTTGGTTGTCTCATCTCCATTTTATTGAAGACGAAACTCATGTGCAGAGAGGTTTTTTCTGAGACAGGGTCTCACTATGTAGTTCAGCCTGGCTTTGAACTTGCT